GGGTACATCAATACTAGGGTATACTTGTCGCATTTGTTACACCTGACTGCTTTATCGTCACGGGTATCAGCGTAGGAATGGATCGAGACCCGTGTTCATGCTGGTCATATGTCATTACCTTTGTTTATATTTTATTGCAGTTACGTACATCTGTGTAGTGTGTATACTGCACTGACTTGTACAAGTATAAACTTATTTGGTATCTTATTTCCCTGCATTAAACTAAGTATTACGTAATTATTCTCGCTACCGAGCTCTGTAAAGCATACGTCCATCTTCACCGGTGTCGACTGATTACACTGAACAGTGATCAAGTTCTGACCTATTTATAGGGGTCTGCAGAGTAGCGAGACTCGGGAACAAAAATGGCAGACAGATTCCTTTTACGAATTGTGTTCAGCTTTAAGAATCGGGTTAAGCCCTGAGACTATAAAATTAGAACAGTATCTTGCCATTTTATAATACATATTTTATTGAAAAAAGTTGCAGGTTTGTACACCAATCAAATTCAAACATATGACGAAAAATAAATTTATTCTGTTATCAAAATTATTTCCAAAGTTATATTGATTTTAAATTTTAACTTACATCTCTTCTCAAGGTAAGGTCCTTCATATTTTTACAAACATACTTTAATCTTTAACGTAAGTCACTCGTGAAATTTGTTAAATCAAGGATTTATTGAGAAGTATATTTTGGATAAGTACTCATATAGAGTGACTCAAAATCGCAGAGAAAATAGGGGGTCAGTAATCATCTTACTGATCTACGGTGAATGAAGTTGACCTTTTTGCACTTAAAATTTAACTCTTTGGTAATCATGTTAATTACTAAAACCTAAATTATATTGTATTAGATGTAACCATGGAAAAATATGAATTCATTTTACGTAAGATATTCTGAATAATATTTATCATTGAAAATATCTTGCAAATTAAAATGCGCGTAAATTGTTGTGTGACCTTTTTGCACTAAAAAGTAAGATATTTTGGGGTAATAAAAAACTAAATAGGCAATAAAATATGTTTTTATATCAAGCTTTTTACGACTTACAAAATGTAAGTGCTGATTAGTCACATGTATCGAGTACTTTAAAATAAGGAAAGAAAAAGTTGGGGTCAGTGATCTTAATTTTGAAATATTGGTCAAAATATGTGATTTTCAGGCAAAAAATGTGTAAATTTTATATTGACTTATTTGACATATCTTCAATTTCTGGCAAAGTTTGTTGAAGAAAGGTGTAAAACTTGTTCAAAGAATATAAATTAAGACCTATATTAAATATTACTAGCAATATCCTAATGGAAAATATTGTTCTAGTAAAAGTATGTGAGGCTAAAGTTCCAAGATATTGAATTTAATAAATTTGCAGATTTTCAGAATTATCTGCTTAATATCATTCCACCAAAAAAATAGTCCCTCACAAATCTTGCTTCTTTGTCGCTTTTTGAGCAGTTTTTTCCGTTGAATGTTAAAACATTAACATTGTTGAAATAAAATATGTTATAAAAATTGAATTTTGATAAACAGTTTTGAAGTAAGAGGTTCTGCGTGAACTTTTCCAAAAAGCTGACGAGTGACCTACCTTAAGTCAACTTGTTATTCCTAGTAAGAAAAAAGAATCAGGAATGTAATAAATGCTTTTGCAAAAAAAAAAAAACCTTTTGCTTCTCATTGATGTGAGTTAAAAATCCCTTGTTGACCATGAGTGCAAAATATTTATTTTCCTGAGTAAAATGTCTAAAAGTAGTTTTAAGTTTGAGGTATCAGCCTGCGATGCCACCATTATTTGAAAATTTCGACTAAAATATCAGCCTAAAATCCAAGATTCCCACCCCATGAAGATGACATTTCATTGATAGAATTTTAAGAGAAGTATTGACTTTTACAGTTGACGGTTTAATTTGACATTTAAACGTTTTCAATTGATGATAGGGCAAAACATTCTCAATGGTGCTGTTTTATTCACTAACATATAAAGCCCGGGAGTTTAGAGAAGGGTGCTTGTCGGTCTTCAAGGGTAGCCTATTTTAATTTTGTGCTTTATTCTGAAACCAGTTATTTCTGTTCTATAAAATCTAAATGTGTTTTTGTCGTGAAAATTTACCGTACATTGTCTTAGTCTAAAAGTTAGCCGTCAGCACTTCTCGCAAAGGTCAAATAAAAACCTTGCAACCATCATTTTTTAGATAAATCTCAAAAGATAAGTTAAGAGAAAAATCTAAGATTTATTCTATTTGCTATGTGCGACCCATTTTCTACCAATATATTTAATAGCAAAAATGAATAATAAAATGAATAATTCATCTTACCTTTTAATTAGATGATTATTTAATACGTTGATGTATAATCGCAAAAATAAGCATAAACTTAAGGAAAAGAGTGCTTTAATTCTTGGCTTGTCACTCGACATAAAACATCAACAACAAAGACAGAAACATCATGGGACCGATTGTACATGTATTCGTTTACATTGTTATTTGTTTGGTAACCTTATAATTGTCCATATATTGAGAGAGAGAGAGAGAGAGAGAAAGAGAAAGAGAGAATGAGAGAGAGATAGAATAACGAACAGTCTTCAATCTCAAAGTCCATAAAACAATAAAAAATAAAAGTGAGCAATCACGGGCCTCTGAAACATCAGAGGTGTGATCAGGTGCCATGGAGGAGCGAGCATCCCCTGCTGACCGGTCACACAAAGAGTTTTAATCCCACGCTATTGTAGGATAATTTTTTGTCTGCTGACAATTTTTTTCTGAAAAGTATCTGATATTTTAACTGACCGTTAAATGTTGGGCTTCTGAAGAAATACCAAATACAACAAATATAAAGGAACAGAAATAGAGATACACATTCTTATTTGTTTACCTTAACAAGATGTGTTTGTGAAACACTGATGCCCCCGTATGGCAACATAGCGAATATTAAGCTTTCTCTAATGCTGATCAAATATTTTGGTACCTAAAGTTAAAGGTAGGACAAAATCCGGAGTCAAGATCAATGGGTCAAAGGTGCTGGTTTCTTATTAAATTCTTTCTCAAAGATTACATATGGGAAGTATGAAAGTGATGGCCCTTACCGTTCAAATGTTATGGCCAAGGTCAAATCTTGTAAAAGTAGGTCAAGGTCAAAGGGTCAAAGATATTGATATTTAATGAAAGGTGTTATCACAATGATTAATTGTTTGAAGTATGAAAACTATTGTCCTTACTGTTAAAAAATTATGGCCAAGGATCAAGTTTTCAAAAAGTACGGTCAAACTCTAAAGTCAAGGTTAAAGGGTAAAAGTTGTTGATATCAGAAAGACTTTGTCACAAAGATTACGTGTGTAAAGAATGAGGCACTATCCCTTACCGTTTAAATGTTATGGACAAGGTTAAACTTTTTCTCGTAAGTACGGAAATCCCCAATGTCATGATGAAAAGGTCAAAATTGCTTGTTTTAAATGATATTGAAATATAAAATTCCTAGTATCTACCGTTCAAAAATTAGGGCCACAGTAATATTTACATTTTTTTATGTAAAATCGGTCAAACTCCAAGGTCAATGTCAAAGGGTCAAAGATATAGTTTTCGGATATCCCTTCATTCTGTTGTATTCCCACTGGAGAAAGTATTAACTCTGGTGCAATGAAATATATGAAGATAACAGAATTCACAATATGCACGTATTTCGAAGTTTATTTGCAAATTTTAATGATTTAGTAGTAAATATTTGCATATTTAAAAAAAATCTATATGACCTATTTATAAAAACATACATGGTGCAAGAGCAATCATGTGCCATAATATACATGATAACACAAGGTGACACAAATACTTCAATTTCTTATTATCACACATCAAAAGTAGAAAATCCCTAGGTGGAAAAACCACCGTTAACTTTACGTTCAATCCCTGCATACGACATCATCATGTGTTCTAAATCTGCGGCATTTTATTTTTGTCTTACTTGTCTGTTGGCGCCAAGTCTTTTGTTACAGGCAACAGGTTTTTACTCGCCATATTGGATCAAACATAATTCAACATCAGACTGCTTCCGGGGAATCATTTTATCGGTGAATTGTAATGAAACAATAGAAGGTAAATATGACGTAGTTTATGCGTGTTATGAACTTTTATGAAATGTTACCTGCTGATACTAATTTTCGTGGTAAAAAATCATTTGACACGAAAATAACTCCAACATCCCTTCCTGCAAGTATAATTAAGATCCCTCTAAAATGATAAGACTGTTGACGGTTGACGGTAACTAATTAAGGTGTTTTAGCTCCCATGCATGATAAATACATCATGATATTTGCAAACATATGAGAAACAGGTCAAAACTAAATAGGCTAAAATGTAACTGAAGGATAGACAGAAGAACGATTGAGGGTGATTGCTACACACGAATAACAGTTTAAGGGGAGACAGGGCACATGTCACATGACTAAAAAGACATATTACGTCATAATCGGTGATGATATACATGTTAAACGTTGTTAAAATCAACATTTCTTGAGTAATTTGATTCTAAATTCTAAAATTGTTTTTTTTAACATTTAATTTTAGAAATTGTTATCATTATATTTCTTAAAGTCTTGCCATCATTTAGATATTGTGAAGCTAGATGCTCAATTTACACATTTGTTTCTCTTTTCCCTGCAGTCTGACGTCAGTGACGTCATAGACGTAGTGTTTGAATTCTCAGTTCAGCGATTTCAAGCACTCACCAGTCATGATCATTTAATTTCATAATAAACGGGTCACAGTCAATGTATCGTGATACATTTCTGAAGCAGATTTTTTAATTAATATTTTTTCGTGTTTAGTATCAGAGATTCTCTCTATTTAGAATTATAATTTTGAATGTTTATGTTTTCGTGTGACGTCATAATTGATTTCCCGCACTCGGAAAATACAGAGGTGAAGCGTTTTTATCATGCTTACGTCTAATTCAACGATGTCCTTTGCGATAAGCTTCACCTTGTAATATTTATGCAGTGAATAATTACAATGAAGGACTGACATTTAATCATAAATTCAGATATATTTATTGAAATTTTTTTTTCCAAATGAGGTTTTTGTCGTTGAAGCTGCCTTGAAAAATGCAGAAATTATCCCCCCAAATACTATATAAAATTAAAACAATTGCTTTCAGATAATTTGAACACTATGAATATTCTGAAATATTTGAGTAAATAGTGTTATCTATCATATTTATCGTTTGTGCGTAAAAATTCGCATTATGGTCTTCATTATGGGCCCGTAAAAATGAAGTATCTAAACTCCATACAAACTGTAAACAGGGCGGTATTTGTGCGTCGATATCTTTTAAATAAGTCAAAAAATCCCATGACAGGATCGTAAATGTTAAGTTAAATACGAGCGTAAGTAATATAAAAGATATGAAAAAAATCATCGACAGGAATTTTTTCAGCTAAAGTCGTGTTCCTCCTTAAAGGTGTACAAATCAGAAATGCATTTTCATTGTCATTTCATTACTTCAGCGCTTGATCTTGCTTAATTATGTGTGAGTTTATCTGTTGCACTCATATACAGTATATACATGTATTTATGGAATTCACGTAGATATGTATGAAACAATGTTATAGGTATATCCTTTTGCAGTAAGTTAATTATCTTCCACTGCAGTTTAATATTTGACACCTTATTGAAAAAAAGAATCATCTTTAAATTCATGTTAGGCATTCACTGCAAGCCTTTATGTCTTATTAATACGAGTCTAAGTGTGTCAAATGACTTAAAACCCTATTTCATCTAAAACAATGTAAAAGTTATTAAAAGTTTCAATACATTGACGGGTAAATACTTTTTCATTAAATATGCTACACACAACAAATTTGCCATTTTTCCTAAGTATTAATGATAAAATTAAAATTTGTGAGAGTGCAAAGAAGTGGCAATCAAAACCTTTTAGATAAAATACTTTTTTAAATATATTTTCGAGTGAAATGATAAATTAAAATATATAAGTCGTGATATTATACAGAAAATATTAACTTCAAATTTGTGGCTACTCTCCTTTATGAGTTTCCTGATTGGGAGCTTTCGTATGTTAGCATGTTTGTCTGGGGAGACTAAAGCTGCCAGCTTTCAAAGGCATGAGAGAAGGATATGGAGATAACAAAGAGTATTCAATTTCAAAGTCCATTAAACATGGAATACTCTTCGTTATCTCCAATCAGAGTAGAACAAACACGGGCCTCTGAAACAGCAGAGGTGGGATCAGGTACTATGGAGGAGTGAGCATCCCCTGCCGACCAGTCACACCCGTCGTGTGCTCGATGTCATGATCAGGAAATAACGGGAAAAAATCAGTCGTTAATTCCGTGTATAAATAATGGTCTAACAACTTGTATGAAAAACTTCAGTCAGCATTTGACTCAAGGATAAATTGTATTTGCTGACACAAGAAAACAAACTAGTAACATAAGCAAGCATAATTTTATAAGTAATCACATTCCCCTTTTTGTTTATATATAGTTTGTTTTCATCACGTATTTAAAGAAGTTGGATCCTTAAAACCGATTCCCATCAAATGTATGTACATTTATCAGAAAACATTTATTTAGTAGATAATACATATTATTAAGACAGTATCACTTTATGCTGTCTAGACTGATAATTTACTGACGAAAATACAGATTGCGGAATAGTTTGCCCTTTTTAAATCAGACACGGATGATAATAAGTTCTATTCAAATCTAAAGTTTATAATTAGTACATGCTCTAAAGAGATAAAAATGTAATAAAAAAAGTTTCATGTAAGAAATATAAGAAAAAGACGACTGATGTTTTCCGTTATTTCCTGATCATGACAAGGAGCACACGGCGTGTGTGACCGGTCGGCAGGGCATGCTCAGTCCTCCATTACACCTGATCCCACCTCTGTTGTTTCGGGGGTCCGTATTTGCTCTGCTCTTATTATACTGTTCGTTATCTCCATGTCCTTCATATAAAAAAAGAGATAAGATTTTAATAAGCAAATGCCTTTATCAGATTTTTAAAACCTGTTTTCGAACATTTATTATATAATATAACCAACTGACTTTAATATTTATAGAAGTAACATAGTATTCCCCACATTATATTGATTATATAGTATAAATACCTTGTTGAAGGCACGTGATAAATGCATATTAAGTGTATTTCATAAAAGTCATACAAATTTCAATATCGCAAAAGCATATGAACCCCAGCTCATTTAATACAATTAAGTTATAAATCAGCCACATATACCTTTTTCTTTTTAAAAAGTGATGCTGCTTTAAATATGTACCTCCAGTTGAAATATATTTACTTTTATAAGTATTTCATACATTTATTTATGGTATGCTCTCGATTCAAGAAAGCAACAGCGCTAAAACTAAAACTACTGTTCGTGATTTACATCAAAAGAACAAGGGTATAGTCTATTTGTTTGAGCTGAAATTTGGAATATTTATTGCTTATATAGTGTATATTTTGAAAAGTGCTGGGAGCTGATCCTGGTCTGCATAACATCATTTTTATTTATAACAGAATTAAAGCGAAGTGGAAATTTTAAGCATTTTCGGCAAAATTTTCAGTACTTCTCAAACAACACTGACTAGCTCCCAGCACTTTTTGGGGAGAGGAAATAAACATCTTTAAATGTGTATCAATTTTTTTCTTGATAAACAAGTGTATGTCCTTCCACTATCCACATAAATTTCCTACATTCAGCTTAACAATTCTATATCTATACATGTCACGTGACAAACAGCTCATACGTGCGATATAACTGTGGCCTTCAACTCGACATTTAGATATATCGACGACGTATTGTCAATTGATAATGATGATTTCCATTCCTACGTCGATACGATATATCCTGGTGAGCGTGAGATAAAAGATACCACAGAGTCTGACACTTCTGTTTCATACTTGGATATATTACTTAAAAAAGACACTAATGGTAATCTAACAACCAAGCTATATGCTAAACGTGATGACTTTAACATTTCTATCGTCAACTTCCCTTACTTATGCAGCAATAAACCTTCATATTTTAGTTGAATCGATATGCAAGAGCATGCTCTACGTATGAACAATTTCTTAAACGAGTTAAATTATAGACAAGCAAGTTGATGAAACAAGAATATCAGCAGTCTCGTTTAAAGTCGTAAGTTCGTAAGTTCTATGGTCGATACAATGACCTTGTCAGCAAATACAATTTATCCTTGAGTCGAATGCTGACTGACGTTTTTCATACAAATTGTTAGTCCATTATTTATACACTAAATTGACGACGGATTTTTTCCGTTATTTCCTGATCATGACAAGAAGCACACGGCTGGTGAGACCGGCAGGGGATGCTCGCTCCTCCAAGGCACATGATCCGACCTCTGATGGTTCGGAGGTCCGTGTTTGCTCTGCTCTTCTTTTGTTTTTAATGTTTAATGAACTTTGAGATTGCAATTGAATACTAGCTGTTCGTTATCTCAATATCCTTCTGGCAATAACTACGGCCCAGTCCTATCCATTATTAATAGCTTTATAATCGCATAATTTCGCAAGAAGCACAACACGCAAAATAAAATTACCTGTCTTATTTTTATGGTACTGAAATCTATGTAAAATCTCTTGATCAACCGACCATTCGCAAATAATTATTCTCCCGATTTGCTGTCGAAGAGCCCATTCGCGATAATAAATACTCGAGAAAAATAAGAAATCTACAGTAACCCGGTAGTTTTGGTGTTACTTATTGCTATAAGATTGTTTGAAATTTGTCCTGTAATCAGGAAAAAACACTTTCGGTATAAATTAAGCTCCATCTCCCTTCAAGTAGACTTAACAATATTGCCTTATTCTACTTTTCCATTCACCTTTGATAATTAATCGCTATATCAAATGATGCATTAAAAGATTTAATAGAACAAGACAATTCTTATTCTGCAATGCAAGATGTTCTTTGAAATTCATTGTTTTAATGTCTCAATTTTTGTCTCCATATGGCATCTCTTAATTCCTTCAATTTACGATGTATTTATATCATTTATATCTTATTCTTTTGAATATGTGTTCTGTTGTTTAAGAGAATAATATGAATAAAATTAGGTACTTGTATTTAACATTTCATTTTCTTACTTTCAGATTAATTGAAAAAAATAATTCAAACAAATACATGATTATCATAACTTTTTTGTAAAATAATAACCTTTTTCAATTAACTCTCTGATACATGTTTCAGTCTCATTTGTTTGTAAGCTTATTTCCGTATTACTGCAGCGGGACTTGGTACCACAGCTATTTGCCTTGAGATTACGGCGTTCCTTATTATTGCACTTACAACAGGGGTCATCATGTATTCCATTTGTTGTAATAAAGACGGCCTTTATAATGCAGGGTGTTGTACAAAATGTGGAGTGGGTGTATTATGTTTATATCCTGCCGCAGGTACGAATATCTTCATTGTATTGAATTCATAAAAATGAATCAGGGGATACTCACTCCTCCATAGAACCTGATCCAACGTTTCTGAGGTTTTTTTTTAACTATGCTACAAAATTTATTCTGTTTATTGTATATTTGGAGTTTGAATACTTTTCTAATCTTCTTATATTTCATTCATTAAATTTAGCATCATTATTTAAAGAACTATATTCGGTTTATTGCATATATTTGCCCCAACAAAAGTCAAATTTTGAAAACTTCCTAAATGTGCTGAAATCAATAAATTTTATGTGAAATATAAATTAACAGAAAATATTTTAGTGTCAAAGCAGTGTATTCACAATTTTTTTTTATGACTTCACAAACTAGTCCAATTTTATATCCTTTTTCAGAAAGAGGACAAAATGGACAACATTTCAACAATTTTAGCTTTAAAATTTATAGAGCGCAAGTTTGTTCAGGAACAATATTGACATATTTCATTGATATTATCATTCTACACATTATATCAAAATATTGATCCTGAACACACATGCGCTCGGTGACTTTTACTCAAAATATCGACGAAATATGTACAATTTTCTGTAAAATTCATAAAAAAATGAAATTTACGTCATGTTTGTGACGTCATTACGTACATATGGCGTCATTACTTATATATATTCAGTGATTTGAAGTCAGCATATACTCCCCTGTTTAAGAACTTAATTAAATATATGGCACGCCAAGCAAAAACCTCCCCTAAGTGACTTTTTGTCGAAATTTGGTTTTTTGCATATTCTAAGAGGAAATGTCTTCACATTCATAAAAATGATATGGAAACCTAGTTATGTGCTTAAATAAGCTCTCTAGCATGAAGCAAAGGGCATGAAATATTTTGACCTTACGTCAATTTCTTCTCGCAACGTCAAACAAAATCTGCTTATCATAACGTTATTAATAAGAGAAACGTCAAACTGTGACCCCTTCAGATAAAAGGGAAAGTTCGATAAAATATTTTTTTTAAATAGACAAGATTCAAACTTGATTAAAACCATTGCCAGAGCATGCAAGCGAAATATTTTTTTTTAATTTTGATGAAATTATATTTGATTATAAGTGAAAACATTTTTCATAATATAATTGTATCATTCTGGATTCCTTGGATGTCTTGTTATTTCAATACTCCTCGATATCAACAGGAGGACAGGTCGTGTCTTTCCACGGATCCTGAACAAATGGACGGATTCTTTGATACAAATACTTCTGCCTCTCTCTCACCAGGCAGGATTGTCCTGGGACGAGCATTTGTATCAAAGAATTCAGGATCACATTTCAAGAGTTTGAAAGGAATCTCTTCGTCTACATTTGATTTTCTGCAAAGCACGAATCCGGGCCTGTCTTGGGTAAATCTAAAGTGTTGATAATCCCAAAGTACTTTAAGAGGTGAGAACGTTGATGAAAAGAATTCCATCCAATCTAACCACATCCATGTTTCCTCCTCCTCAAAAAGAACGGCATTGTTGGAAAAGCAAGATTTGTCCACAATATTACGTAAATCTGCAATACTGTTGCAATCTGTCCGTCTATACAGACGCTTGATGTGTGCAAAACTTGAATCAACTAGACATCTACAAAATTTAATGATAATTTATATCAATTTATTTCTTTCAGAGAGTAGATAAAATGGTTTGAACAATGGTGTTCATTTAAAATTAAAAATGAAGGGTACCTTGCGTGACCTGGAATTTGCATCATGAAAGTAATTTGCTGATGAAGTCCCAGGAGAACTCTCCAGCAAAAGTACGCTAGCACATAGCGATTCTTTTTTTGTCCTTCATAAGAGAAGAGAATAACATATTTATGTATGGGTTAAATTTTTCATTTTATGATGATTCTTTTTTTTGTTGTTGAAAAAACAATCACCTGCACAATTATCAGCATGGATAACACAGCTGATTTCCCCAAATCCAAAATTTAGCAGAGCGTGATGCAGCATAGAGATCACTGCATTGGGACCATGGGTTTTAGAGCCATTTTCACCTACAAAGATATCGATATCTTTATTCAATGGATAATTGTTAGATACATTTCCTAAAATAGACCATATAAATTCAATTCATGTTAAAAGTAATAAGTCTATCATTTTATTTATTATCAATAAAAAAAAAAAAACAATCAAAATGTATCACTACGATAATATTAAAATTTCTTTGTTAAATCTCAAAAGCATATCATAATCATATATACACTATAAAATGTAATTGTATTCATATACCGATGGTTTCATTTTCATTAATGAGATAATTGTATTGTCTTGGTACTCCATCCACCCTCAGCCCAAATAACTGTACTTTACGTGGAACGAGAAAATAGAGGGGTCCCATTTGTCTTGCATGATTAGGAATAAACATCTGTTGGGAAAAATCAAAGGTGTAATGGACCTTAGTGTAAGTGGAAGAGCAAGGAATTGAAGGACCATAACCTCGTCTGACATTTTCAATCTCTGTCATCGATTCCATTACAGCTTGCTGATAAGCTTGTGTTTCCTTGGCAGCTCGTTGAAGGTGATGATCTTGGAATGCAGTGGTACATCTGAAATTTTCAACGTCACCAACGGCTAACCGAATGGCATTTCTGTGTCTCTCACATATGTGAGAAACGTCGGTGTACTGATCTTAATATGAGGTATACATCTCAACCATACATCTTTAAATGTAGATAATCCTAGCGCCCGAATGTTGGATCGGGCACAGCTTTCAACAAACTGCTTGTGTAAAGCATCTTTTGTATCTGAACATGGTAAAAAGATAGGAGGTTCTGTGTCCCTTCCTTGGTTCCTGCTGGCTGGGGTATTCCGTGTTGACTCGCATAGTTCATCAAGTACTGCACCTCATTTTTGACTTCTTCAAACTTGAAAGCATTTGGGGCTTTTCTTCCCTTGTTACCATGGACACGAGGAGTAATACCTTGAGATTGCAAATGTTTTTAAGGCTGTCTAACGTATATTCTTTGACATCATATATAAACTCAAATGCCTTTCTACATATTTTTTGTTCCTGAAATGTGTACGTATACTTTGTTCTCTTTCGAGGGTTTGATAATTTTTTCCCAAAGCCAAACTGATTTAAACTGGTCATAATCATAATTTCCTTCTCTGCCTTCTCCAAATCCCGAATGCTGTATATATGATCAGTAAGTTGCTCAATGGAAAAATTGTCAAGGCAGTTTTTTGAACACGTACAACCAGCTCTTGCAATACAAAAATTCTCACTACAATCATTATCATCTTGTACACCTGTGGGGTCTGTCTCTGTAGCATGATTATAATCAGAATCAAAAAACAGATGAGCTAGTCTTTCTACAGATAAAGGTTCACGCAAATCAGCATCACATTCAGTATCCAATTCACCAGAACTGTCTTCATAAAATTGATGTTGTGAATGAGCTGAGTTTGCTATACCCAAATGTTCCTCAAATATATTTTCTAGCTCCTATCAAAAATAAATAAATAGAATAAGATATCATATTAATAAAATAAAATTTTAGAATTTTACTTATGTATTCTTATTTTTCATTTATAAATATTTTTAATGTATCTATACATATTTTGTGAAAATTGGAATGCCTATAAATCACACAACGTGTAGCCGGTTTTTTTTCATATTTTTTTTATTTTTATTTATTTATTTATTTTTTGCCGGTTGGTGACATAATTTGCTTTGTATAGCACAAATCACTTTTGTAACCATTTCTTTAATCACAACTTAGCGGACACTAGACATTAATCTTAATATCAGTTTCTATATGATACTACGTGAACTAAAAGTATCCCCAATTGTTTAAATTAATGTGTTACTTATGTGTACCATTACCAACATATGTATGCCTGTAATTTTAATTAAATAAAAAAAAAATAAATTTTATAAATTACTATTCATGAATGCAATTCTTTTTGAGTGAATAATGATTATTAATTATTATTTTTTTCTTTTTTATACATGTACTTGTATTTAAATTTACATGTATTCATTTTGATTTATTTATTGTCAAATCTATAAAATACAAATTTCATTTATTTCCTTACTCTTATTCTTAAAAATGGAAATAATTTTGTGTGTATATAAATTTATTGGGTAAACACAATGTATAAGGTTTTCATTACAATCTCACTCTCCCCCCTTGATAACCCCTTTCAAGAGTACCGGCCCTTTGTTTACATTAGAAACGTCTAACAACAAAACTAGCCTACTATGTCTCTCGGTTTTAAAGTTAGCGTATTACTGAACAACTTGTCTTTTAACTCGATTGGAACCAAACAAGTATATTCTAATTACTAGACTAGTATTTTCCGGCTTTTAAGGAACAAAACGGGTATTTATCGATTGTAAATCAATGTGAAGTCAAAAGCATCAATCCCCATGCGATCGACTTACGCTCGAATCCGTTGAAGACGAATCGACATGAATGTTTTGACAATCAGCAAGAACACTTTTGACATCTAAGATTCATTTTCAGTAGTTTATAGAGAAAGTAACAGAATGAGATCAACTATAAAATGCTTTAATTAAAGATTTGTTTGCTTTTTTAAAGTTATCAAAATTGAAAACGATATGGTATACATCTATATAGGCCTGCCGTAAAATGTGGATACACATGTAGACTTCCGGTACAGAAAGCAAACAAAAGATCTTTGAAATTTACAAATAAAATAAATATCTAATTTTTATTAGTTGCTAATTACAATTCTATATATTTCCGAAAACGCTTACCTGAAACTGGTCCATCAGCATTCATCTTTCAGTTGCATGAATAGATGTGAAGAAAAAACGAGTGACAAGTTGACACAGAATTTTATTTTGCAGAAGTAAATTTTGCGTTTTCGCGTCATTGATTTTAGATACAATTTTCGACGTTTTGTCATAATTGAGCTAAGGGAGGTTTTTGCTTGGCGGGCCACATATATCTCCATCAAAGTTTGATTTGAGGGCAAATTTTGATTATTACCGAATAAAGTTCTTTGT